AGAAGTTGTGGGTGCTCTGCCCCTTGACAATTATCCACAGAAAAAGCCCCCGGGAAGCTCGTGAGAGCCGTGCACAGCTCTGCTCCCAGCGCTTGGTGTAAAAGGCAGACACGGCCGAGACTGTCAGGTGCTGTCAGGCCCAGCTCCAGGAGGAGATTGAGGGACTTCCCTCCCATTAAAAATAAGGGGCACCGGCCCTGAGCGGGCTTGCACACAAGTGCCTGCGAACGGTCACAGCTGCCTGCGCTGCGTCCTTCAGAGGTGCAGAGCTGATGCAGAAGAAGGCTACGGAGGCGACACGATTCAAGCATCTTTTAAAAACCTGCCAGGTTCTGCAAGCAGGGCTGGTTGAATCCTCTTGACCATTGCCCACCAGGATAGCCGGGGTCAAACTGTGATGCCTTCTCTCCTCCAGCCCCCCGCTTGCTGGAACTGCCAGGCTGATGCAGACCCGGCCTCCGGTCTCCAGCCTCTGGTGTGGCCAGAAGCAAATCGGTCTAGGAGCGGTGTGGCTGGGGTGCCTACATGCAGGTCTCGTCCTAGCCTCTTGTCTGAGACCCTGAAGCACAGGGTTAAACACCCCTCCAGCAGGGTTTTTGGGAAGCATTAACTATTCCTACTCTGGGCATCCTTGTTATCCATACAGATGTTGGCTCCCTCGTGGCTCTTGCCACCCTTTGGTCTCACTGAACATCCCCTTGTTCTTGTGTTCTGGGATGGGGAGAGCAAAGCTGCCCCCGTGTCGCTCTGTGGACAAAGCAGAGGCTTGAACCCTATTCTCTCGGGTCAGATTTGTGCAGGGATCTGTACGTGTGCCGTCCATACGGCAATATTGGACCTCAGCAAAGAGCGTTCCTAGGTAGAGGAGCAGCCGGCACTGTGGATTTTCTTCCTATGCAGGGAGGTTAAACCAGACTCCAGGGAAGCAACAGTGTGCACAGCTGGAGCGCAGATGTCTCGACACCCCTCGCACGGCCACTTGCCGGTGCCTGGGTTTTGCTGAGCTCGCGGAGGTTACCGGGTGCACGCGTAGTGGGTGGTTTCTGATGAGGATGCATTGTACGCGGTTCAGACCTGACCCGCGGTGATCACTTAGCAAGAAACTATTAAACGCAGTCATGGACTAATGAGCTGCTCGGGGAAAATGGCAATTCGTTTTAAGAGCGGCATAATCACGTCATTCAAGTGTAAAACTCTAAATCGAAGGATTTTTTTTTTCTTTAAAAAAAAAAAGAAAAGAAGAAAGCTGTGTTATAATTAGAGTTCAAGCTCTAGGAAGCTGTCTTCTTGCTTGACTGACACCTGGGACCTATTTCACGTTCCCTTCGGAGACAAAATTTCCTGAAAACGAACTTGGGAGGATCAGGAGATCTCATGACGTAAAGCACAGGCCGCATGCAGGGACCTGCTCCCGGCTTGGCTGGGGGGTCTTGGAGAGAAGCGCTTGGCTCCTGTGTCCGTCCTTCCCCCCTGCATGCAGTGGACCTGATCTAAGCCGGCTCTGAGAGCAGCGAGGGCCAAGTCGGCTGCAAAGCAGCTGGAGACGTGGCAGCTGGGGACTTCTGCGTAGGTTTTCATACACAGTTGAATTTGCCCAGAAGGAGCTGCTCGTATCCAGCCTCCGGCTCGCCATCAAATTGACCTTCTTTGTGGCAGGCTGCTCCGGGGGCTTTCCAGCTCTGCTTCGGAGCCAGGCTGGGGGCAGGGTGCTGGGCAGTGCTGGGCATGGGTCTCTTAGATCATGTCCTTACAAGCAGAGGACTGCTCTCTCCCCTGGGTTTTGGTAGCTATTAATCTGCTGCGCTGCCGCGCTTAGGCGCAGGCCTTGCTGTCTGCGTGAGCAGCCCTCGGTGCTTCAGTGGGGCTTCGGGGCAGCTAGTCCCAGCCGCTGTAATTGCGTTTCCCCCTAGGAGAGTCCTTCTCCTGTTTTCCAAGCGGCGCCTGAATCCCACCCTTCTCCTTCCTTCTCTGCAGGTGATGCTGGTCGGTGACTCTGGGGTTGGCAAAACCTGCCTGCTGGTGCGGTTTAAAGACGGCGCTTTCCTGGCCGGCAGCTTCATCTCCACGGTTGGAATTGACTTCAGGGTAAGGTGCTGTCAAGCAGTTCTAGAAACCATTTTTTCCCCCTATTTCCTTCCTTGTGTGAGCGGAGATGCCAGCCTCTGGTTCTCGGGCGGTTGAATTTGATGAGCATCACACCCGGGGAATAATGAAATGTCTCGTCTTCAAAATGACCGGCTCCTCTCCTCCAGGGCACTGCTAGGGTTACACATCTGGGCACGGCACAGCTGGCGGGTTATTGCTCAGCGCCAGGGTTGTAACGATTGCCCCCTAAACAAGGAGGAACGCATGCCTTCGATTGACCAACGCTGGTGACCTCTGGGGAATTGCGAGGACCACCTGTGGACGCTCCATGGCTGGTTTGGTGTATTGTGTTTGGGTTGCGGTGCCGTCCTTGCAGGTGTAGGGCATCCTGGTGGGGCCGTATGAGCTGCCACCCTCGCTGGGAGGAGGGAGGTTTTGCGGGGGAAACTAATGTCTTGAGTGCTGGGAACGGGAGGACAGGAGGCTACGGGCCAGGGGCTCTGGTTCAATCCCCGGCCTCCCCTCCCCTGCCCCGTCTCTCCTTGGAGACGGGCCGGGTGGCGGATGTGCCCGATGGGAGGAGGAATCCATGCAGCCTCTGGAAGCACACTGGGGGGGGTTGCCTGGCAGCCGTGCCCCTGTGATGGGCATTGCTATGCGAGGGCCCTCCACGGCTTGGAGACTGGCTAGCCACACGTGGGTCACACGAAGGAACCGGTTGCAATTCTTCCCTCCTCCCAGGCGCTGCTCTGTGCTGCCTGAGCACCAGGCATGAAACCACCGTCCTCATCACGTGTAGTTAAGAGGCCACATGGCGCATTTCATGCACAGATACCCGAAGGTTTCCCATGCATCTATCTAAATTCTCCCTCTCTTTTTTTTTTCTTCTTTCACCTCCGAGAGTCCCAATTGCCTACGAACAGCTGAAGTTTGCCTCCAGATTTAAATCATACGTAGGCTTTTTATTATTATTTTTTAAAACCAGAAGCCAGTCTTTATGCAAAATATTTTCATACGTTGAATAGCCCCAGCTCCTAAAATCCGTATAAGAGCCATAAATAAATCAAAACGCCTTGCAGTGTTTGCAAGTGAAGCTTTGCACTGTTGTGCTAATGCATGAGACCGGGGAGCAGAGTGGAGTGGGAGCTGACTGTGAATAGATGTGGACCCCCGTGGTCTGTTTTCAGCGTCTCGGCTCAGAGATGCAAACAAGTAAACAGCCAGCCTCTGTGGTGCAGAGTCAATTAGACCATTAGAGTTTGTTCAGTTCGGGTAATCTAAAGTGGTGCGAGGAGCGAAGGGAAAGACTTCTGTTCTCTGAAAACGTAATAATAATCATTACGATGCTGCCGCAACCCCTCTCCCCAGAGATGCTTGCCTTTGAAAAAGGCCTGCGTGCTGCGATTTCAGTTGAGAGAGACCTCGTGTAAAAATAGTACCCGCTGCTTGGGAACCTGTTGCCTCTGCAAGATCTTAAGATCTCCGGCTTATAAATCTGGGGCCGCTCTGTCAGTCTCCTGGCTCTAAGTGAGTCTCGGCGTCGTTCTGCTTTGTGCTGGGGAGCTCTTAACTAGAAACGGTTGAGAACCACCGGTGTAAAAAATAATCTGCAGCCAAATTTTGCATGCATCAGATGGCTAGATGACGGGGACCGTGCCCGCTCTCCGAGCAGTTCTGCATGCACGAGAGTTTCAAAGCTTCTTGTGAGCCCGCTACTGTTGCCTGCGGCATGGGTGAATGAATGTACAGACCTTTGCAGGGAGGAAGGAGAGCCCTGCAGAACTGCTGATGATTGGAGACTTTTCCTTTGCCACGCAAATGCCTTGATACGCCGGCAAGCAAAGGGAGCCGGGCTGCTTGGCGCTCTGGCAGGCGTGCCTCTGGAGGCAGCGAGCAAACCTGCTGTGCAAATGTCTGAGCCGAAGCCACTCTGGCTGAGACGATCAGTATTCCAGAGCCATCGCCGTGAGAGACGGCTCGGGTGGGAACAAAGCACAACCTCAGCCTCCTGGTTCTCAGAAAGTGTGCTGTTTACCTGGCTGTCAAATGCAAAGGGATGGGCATCCGGCACGGAGAGCATAGATTCATAGATTCATAGATGTTAGGGTCGGAAGGGACCTCAATAGATCATCGAGTCCGACCCCCTGCATAGGCAGGGAAAAGAGCTGGGGATCGATGTCGCCCGCCAGATGACCCCAGCTAGATACTCATCTAACCTCCTCTTGAAGACCCCCAGGGTAGGGGAGAGCACCACCTCCCTTGGGAGCCCGTTCCAGACCCTGGCCACTCGAACTGTGAAGAAGTTCTTCCTAATGTCCAGTCTAAATCTGCTCTCTGCTAGCTTGTGGCCAGTATTTCTTGTAACCCCCAGGGGCGCCTTGGTGAATAAATACTCACCAATTCCCTTCTGTGCCCCCGTGATGAACTTATAGGCAGCCACAGGGTCGCCTCTCAACCTTCTCTTGCGGAGGCTGAATAGATCCAGTTTCTCTAGTCTCTCCTCGTAGGGCTTGGTCTGTAGGCCCTTAACCATACGAGTGGCCCTTCTCTGGACCCTCTCCAGGTTATCCGCATCCCTCTTGAAGTGCGGCGCCCAGAATTGCACACAGTACTCCAACTGCGGTCTGACCAGCGCCCGATAGAGGGGAAGTATCACCTCCTTGGACCTATTTGTCATGCATCTGCTGATGCACGATAAAGTGCCATTGGCTTTTTTGATGGCTTCGTCACACTGCCAACTCACGTTCATCTTGGAGTCCACTAGGACTGGCCATGAGGCCTGTGGCCATGGCTGGGGGCAGCATGGCGGGCTGGACCGGTGACCCAGGGCTGGGAGGACCGTCCCGGCTGATCCGGGGTGCTGCTGAGAGCAGCGTCGCGTGGCTGCGGTGCACGGTGCCAGTTCCCCCAGCCACGCCGCAAAGGTGACGAGTCTGCGGCTGGCTGGAGCATTCCCGGAGAGCGCTCTTTGCTTGGAAAGCCCCATCCTGCAAGAGCCTTTCCAAAGGCACACGCCTGGCTTTCCAACAGCATTTGGGTTCATTTGTGTGCTTAATGCTAGTTGTGTGTGCATTCAGCGTTGGTGCCAGGTGGGCAGGAGCAGCCTAGGTTTTAGATGACCTAGTGCTCTTACCTGGACAGGACTGCCCCTGGGAGCAAGATGCTTAAAAGCCCAGTTTTGGCTTCCAGGAGAGTTATAGCCGGGGCAGCAGTAACAGGCCTCTCCCTAGCTATGCCTTGTCCTTTGCAGAGGTGCAGCCCATCCCTGCTCCGCTGGAGGGACAGTGCATTTTGGGGCGACCCTGGGGTACAGCGTGCTCTGCTCCTGCCCCGGGGAGGTGGAGATTTCCCTGCAGCATTAGGCTCGCGGTGCCATTTCTCGGCGCAGCACCAGGGAGAGTGGCCTTGTTCCCTGCCACTGCTTGCAAACACCGCCTGGTTTATCTTTATATCATTTTGTGCTATAATTAAGGGAGAGTGGTCCGGGGAGAGGAGACTCTATGGCAATAAACATGGCATTTACTCTCTTGTAAAAGCTGACGAGAAGCCGTTTATTGCCCGGGGAGCTGGAGCCAGGAACGCCTTGTACATCCTGCCTTATTTGTTTTCCTCGCTATGGCGTCTTGCTTTGCACCAGGTTCTCCACTCCTGGCCATGGCAAGGGCTGATCCAGCAATGGGAGGGAAGGATGCAGCGTTTGCATCCAGCGCACCAGGCAGGCAGCTCCTGTCTGTGGCTGTCTCGGAGAAGGGCTCTGCGTGCTGGTGTGCACGGCTTTCATTTCTACTAAGCTTCTCTAGGTCAGTGATTCTCAACCGGGGTCCTTTGAGATCCTTTGAAGGGTGCCTTGACACGTGAGGAGATGAGCAGAGGCGCACGGGCTCAGGCTCCTCCCTGCCCAGCCCCTCTGCACGGAGGTAAGCGCTGCAATAAATACGCGGTGCTTGACACGGGGTACGGGTCAATTCACACAAGTTACGGAGCGGGGTTCGAGTCTACCGAAAGGCGCCTCGGGTCTAAAAAGGTTGAGAACTGCTGCTCCAGGTATTGCACTCTTGAAGGGAAGCTGCAGAACGACTGAGCAGGGGTAGGATGAGTGTGATAAATGGTGCCTGCCTGGCAAAGACCAGCGCATAGACAAAAGGACCGTGCGGTTCCCGGATTGCTTGGATTTCTTGAGCCCAGGCAGGTATCGGGAGCCGCAGGGCAGAGCTCAGCCAGGGGTCGAGTGATTTTTCACATGCTTTTCAGCAGAGGTATTTTGCCATTGACATCCTGAAGTGCTCCAGCCCGTTCTGGAAGGGGCCAAAACATGGGGGAACGAACTTGGGACAAAGTCAGCCTCCCCACTTTGCTTTTGGTTTGAATTTTTGAGAGCGCATCATTGGAAAGGGCCTGTTTCTGGTCCTCCCTAGTGGGATAAGATGCGGTGTGGTAAGCCAGGGTGCGAGTCTGCACCATGTGAGCTACCCCACGATACGTGCCTGTATGCACACCTGTTCCCTGCAGCGATTGCACCGGAGCATAGCCCTGTCACTGGGGCCACCTGCTGTCCACTCCTCTTCAGTCTCTCTGTGCCCTCTCCCCAACACTCTTGCTAATGTACCGCGTGCACACGGGCGCCAATCCCAGAATAGCTCATGCACGGTAAATTCACAGTTCGCTTCGCCTCTTGGTAAGCGCCCAGATCGCTGCCCTCCCAGGAAAGCTGAGCCAAGCGTGCAGGGGCCGGGGGCAAGGGTGCACGTGAGCAGGTAATAAAGGCCGACTGAATGAGTGCTCATGGAAAAGGCCGAGAGTTGCAGAGACCTTTGGACCGAGCGCGTGGGTGTGCGTGGGGCTGGCTGCTTTGTTTCCTTTCCATCCAGACAGATGCTCTCCGGGAGCGTCGCTCTGCCGTGTTCCCCCAGCCCCGGTTTATAGCCACAGCTGGGGTTGATTTGTTTTTTCCCTCCAGCAGAGCCCGGCGCCGGCACCGTCCGTGCCCGTTGCTGACATCT